TATATATATATATTTCCCAAATTCTGTTTAAATCAATGTTTTAACACATTTTTAAACAAAAGCTTTAATAACTAATTTCTAATAACTCATTTCCTTTGTCTTTGCCACCACAACAGTACATAATATTTTACTAGTCATTTTTGTAAGATATTAGTATTCAGCTTAAAGTTTGACTTGGTTAATTAGTTTAACTACACTGTAAAATATTTGTTAATGAACAGTTTCTATATTTTGTGTTTCTGTAGGTTGTGAATTGCATTATGGAATCTTGATTTATGCTCTGTTGACTTTTGAAGTTATAAATCCAATTTTAACAAAATGACTTATTTAGACTCACCGGCCACTTTATTAGGTACACCTGTCCAACTGCTCGTAAGCACAATTTTCTAATCAGCTAATCACATGGCAGCAAATCAATTCATTCAGGCATGCAGACATGGTCAAGATGAACCGCTGCAGTTCAAACTGAGCATCAGAATGGGGAAGAAAGGTGATTTAAGTGACTTTGAACATGGCATGGTTGTTGGTGCCAGACGGGCTGGTCTGAGGATTTTAGAAACTGCTGACCTGCTGCAATTTTCACGCACAACAATATCTAGGGTTTTCAAAAAAAAGTCTAAAAAAAGAGAAAATATAGAGCTGAATGGATGGTGACAGTAACTCAAACCACTCGTTGCAACCGAGGTCTGCAGAAAAGCATCTCTGAACACACAACACATCCAACCTTGAGGCAGACAGGCTACAGCAGCAGAAGACCACACTGGGTGCCACTCCTGTCAGCTAAGAACAGGAAACTGAGGCTACAATTCAAACAGGCTCACCAAAATTAAACAATAGAAGATTGGAGAAATGTTGCCTGGTCTGATGAGTCTCGATTTCTGCTGTGACATTCGGATGTTAGGGTCAGAATTTGGCATCAACAACATGAAAGCATGGATCCATCCTGCCTTGCATCAACACTTCAGGCTGCTGTTAGGGATGTAATGGTGTGAGGTATAGATTCTTTGCACACTTTGAGCCCATTAGTACCAATTGAGCATTGTGTCAACGCCACAGCCTACCTCAGAGTTGTTGAGACCATGTCCATCTCTTTGTAACCACAGTGTACCTACCTTCTGATGGCTACTTCCAGCAGGACAACGCGCCATATCATAAAGCGTAAATCATCTCAGACTGGTTTCTTGAACATGACAATGAGTTCACTAAACTCAAATGTCCTCCACAATCACCAGATCTCAATCCAATAGAGCACTTTTGGGATGTGGTGGAATTAGAGATTCGCATCATGGATGTGCAGCCGACAAATCTGCAGCAACTGCGTGATGCTATCATGTCAATATGGACTAAAATCTCTGAGGAATATTTCCAGTACCTTGATGAATCTATGCCATGAAGGATTAAAGCAGTTCTGAAGGCAAAGGGTGTCCCCCGGGTACTAGTAAGGTGTACCAAATAAAGTGGCCGCTGAGTGTAAGTCAGTAAAACAACAAAAAAAATTTCATGGCAGTTTATTATAGGGTGTTTGTACCATAATATACAACACCAACCCAGACAATAGGTCACTTTAAACTGTTAATACTGTTCATAAAAGTCTCTTTTAACTTTTTAAGGTTCGGAGTTGTTGGAATAAAAATAAAAGATCCCATAATGCAATTCAGAAGCATAAATAAACGGGGTAAAATGCAAAACAAAAACGTGAATTACATAATGTATGGATATTTTTTACAGTGGCAAAGTAGGCAAGTGTATCGGCAAACTATTGTACAATCAAAAAAATACTATTTAAATATGCATCACTTGGTAAATAGAATGGTGAAAGAATGACAATCTCGCAACGAGGGCTAATAATTCTGTCTTCAACTGTACAAGATTACCTCTTGGATATTATTTTAATGTTTCTTGATCAGTTCACAGTTCAGATAACTTGTTCTTCCAGCGCTCTTCAAAGTGTACACCGTGTCGCACCACAGATTTTTATAATTCTGTTTCGTCCGGACAGCGGTGACCCGAAACTTCTCATATGGAGGAATCAGCACCTCTTTAATGTAAGGATACTGAGAATATTTCATCAGCTCGGCGCTTTCACAAGTTATAATTTCAAAACAGGACTTCGATCCAAAGCCTTGCGTTATTTTCGGATCAAGAGAGGAGGACGTAAACTGACCAAAGCGGATCTCTTTATTCAGAACGTGCTTATCAAAATTTGCCGTAGTACCGCGGTAGGTTTGAAAGCATTTATTGTGTGACTTCTTCATAATCTGCAATGCTTCGGTCAACAGGAAGTGCAGCGCATGCCACTTGTATTTCTTGTGCTTGTACTGGTTTTTGCCGTAACGTGTGTCTTCGTTAAACTGACGATACACATATTTGCCAGTGTACACGTGAATGGCGATTAAATGGTCTCTAGTTAAGTGGTCTTTACCATACTTCACAACCTTTGCGCTGTTTTGCCAGTATTGCTTAAATTTAGAATTGCTTTTCAATTCATTTGGCAGATATTTGGTCTTAACCAGATTTGCCATTTGTCCTTTGCAGCCATTATATTGATCGTCGACGGATTTGTGTTCCATCCCCAGTGGAAATATCTTCCCAGCAGCAGCGGCGGCGGCTCTGTGATCCTGCAGAAACAGCAATCATAATTATAACATTCATTGTCAGTATTGATGTCTGTAACACAAGGTTCCCACTCTGAGCCAAATGTCAAATTCCCTAAAATTCACTGACTAAACAGCTGAATTTTCATGACCTATATTGTTAGACTTTGCCACAATTTTAAAGTTGTTTACTGCAAAAACGCCCAGTAAAATACCACATACATACTTTACAGTTCAGTACTGTATGCACTGCATTGTGGGTCATTTTTAGGTCACACTTTATTTTGATGCTCCGTTTGTTGAATTAAATTTACATTGCATCTACATGCCAACTAATACTCATTAGATTATAAGTAGACTGTAGGTTTGGGTAAGGTTTAGTGTAAGTTGACATGTACTTGCAACGTTTCCTAATGTCTGTTAAAGGAGCAGTATCAACAGATATTAAGCAGACAGTCTACTAATACTCAAATGAACCATCAAAATAAAGTGTTACCCATTTTTAAATGTGTACAGTATCTTACTACATAGTAGGAATTTGCAGTTTTCTGCTGTAATCAACAAAAATTTGTCACTTGTTTAGAAGGAATTAAATTCAATAGTAAACACTAAAAATAAAGGTACTGCTTGTGTAAAATGTAAATAAATTACAGTAAAAGTACTGTAAAATGGTCATACTGTCAAATTAATATGCGGTAAAGGGCATTTTACTATAAAATAAGTTGCTGTAAGGCTATTTTACTATAAATCGAAAATGCAGTAGGACCCTGCAACTGTAAAACACATTTAAGGCTATTGCACAACGAATGCAAAATCTTTGTCTGTAATTTTTGCATAATTCTTTTTTTTTTCCGGCTTTGTCCAAATAAATTTGACCTCACGTTGTGGCAATACTGACACATTGCCTTCGAAACTTTTGTCTGATTTTTTCAGTTTTTCACATCCGAAAAAGTGATTTGAGAGGTGTTTTGACAGTTCAGAGCATTGCACGAATTGCAAAATACAAAATGGCGTTACTTGAGCCACAGATACCTTTATGAAAAATTTCTTGCTCTGTTAAACATCATTAAAAAAAGAAAAAAAATATTCAAAGGGGGGCAATTAATTCTGACTTCAACTGTATGTATGTATATATACATATATGCATACAGTTTAAGAGTTGAAGTCAGAATTATTAGCCCCCCTTTGAATATTTTTTTTTCTTTTTTAATGATGTTTAACAGAGCAAGAAATTTTTCACGGTATGTCTGATCATATATTTTTCTTCTGGAGAAAGTCTTATTTCTTTTATTTCAGCTAGAATAAAATCAGTTTTTAAATTTTTTTAAATCCATTTTAAGGTCAAAATTATTCGCCCCTTTAAGCAAATTTGTCGATAGTCTACAGAACAAACCATCGTTATACAATAACTTGCCTAATTACCCTAATCTGCCTAGTTAACCTAATTAACCTAGTTAAGCCTTTAAATGTCACTTTAAGCTGTATAGAAGTGTCTTGAAAAATATGTAGTCAAATATTATTTACTGTCATCATGGCAAAGATCAAATACATCAGTTATTAGAGATAAGTTATTAAAACTATTATGATTAGAACATTCAACAAAAATTGGGGGGAAAATAAACAGGGGGGCTAATAATTCTGACCTCATCTATCTATCTATCTATCTATCTATCTATCTATCTATCTATCTATCTATCTATCTATCTATCTATCTATCTATCTATCTATCTATCTATCTATATATATATATATATATATATATATATATTGTAACATTCCCTGATTTTCAATGTCTGTAATACAAATCATTTGACAATGATTGAAATTATTCATACATGCTTACCTGTTCTAGAGCTGCTAAAATGAGAAGAAGAGCTTCAATGATAAGCAGCATCTTGATTCAATCCCTCAGATGATCTACAAAATAAAAAGATGAAAACAGATAAATGTGGCCCTGGAGGTGTATTACAGAGAGATACTAACTTTCAAATCTGATTTCTTTGGTAGTTAGTGACCCTACACCACAAAACCAATCATATAATATTGAACTAATATACATACTTCACAGTTAGCGCTACACCACTGCCCATACAGTGTATTTTTGGCAGGTCCAGGGTCACTTTTAGAACAAATTTTGTTATTACAAAAGATCATTTCTAAAATATGTTGCCTTGTCTTAACTACAGATAGTATAACTGATGGTATAACAGATAAACATACTAACTCTACAAAAAATCCTACAACCTGTCCTTATTGTAGCTTATTGTCCTATCTTATTTTCTCAAATGATTCCAATAAAAGAAGAACAAAAAAATAGAAGAACAAAAAAAGCATAATTAATGGATGAAAATGAAGATGTTTAATGGTAGAAAGGCTCTTGGAGAATGCTGAAGATGTCATACATTAACATGACAAAACACTAAATAAGTGATCACAGACTTTCGCACAACATGATATTACAGCTAGCACAGGAACTGAAACTAACATTGCAGACACCAACAAAGCGGCACAGAGAATTACCAGTTATACTGCAATTGACTAATACCTTATGTGTTTTTTTTATATGCTGGTTTTGCCTATCCATTTTGTTTAGGCTAACTAATTAGCAGCTAGCGCAGTGTTAGTTGCTTATTAGCAGGCCCGAGAGTGAATTGTTGAACTTGACGACACAATTTACTTAAGATTGGTCGAACTTAAGAGAAGATACAAGTTTGTAAGATAAAACAAAAATCTCAAATCAAGTTAAGATTTGTTTCTGTAATACACATTAGCAAAATTTTTTTTTTTTTTAAATGTAACGTATCATATCTTAAGATCCACGGTAAGAAACTTTCTGTAATGTTTCCCCCTGGACCACAAATCCAGTTTTAAGCTGCACGGGTATATTTGTAGGAATAATCAACAACATACAGTATTTTTATAATCAGTCAAATGTATAACTGTTTATTTTATGCTAAAAATCAAAAGAATATTAAGTAGATCGTGTTCCATGAAGACATTTAGTCAATTTCCTACCGCATTTACCTAAAAACTTACATTTTGATTAGTAATCTGTATTGCTAAGAGTTTCATTTGGACACTTTTAAATGTGATTTTCTCTATATTGTGATTTTTTTTTTAACCCACAGACTCCAGATATTCAAATAACTGATTCCCAGCCAAATGTTATTCTCTCATAACAATAAACAACTTATTTATTTAGCCTCCAAAAATTGATTCTGATGAGTTATGTTCAGGTAACCCCAGACTCACCTGAGTATACTGTCGTCTCTCGCTGTGTAGTTTTGTTATTTTGCAGGAGCTCACAAGCAGAAGAAGATCAGAAAAGTCTGTTGCTCACAGTCAGAAGACAAAGACTCTTCAGACTAACAGATGAGGAATGTGGCATTTTATATATCACCGATAATGTGTGTCTTTTAAGAAATAATAGCTTAAGTTGCACGTTTTGGCAATCTGATTTCATAATATTTGCATGCAAGAGTGAATCTGCATGAAACTGTTGATGAAATCTTTGATAACCCCGAGTTTGTAAGGTTTGTTAATCAACATGCATGTCTGCATAAAAATTCACACGAGAAAACCATGACATGGCTGAAATTAAATGAAGACTGAAGAAACCAAGAGATGAAGTGTTTCAAGTGTAATTTGGTCCAATTCTTCATGCAAAATAAGTCTTTTCAATTCAATTAATCTGTATTCGTATAGCACTTTTACAATATGGATTGTGTCAAAGCAGCTTCACATAGAGGATTATAGTGAATTGAAACACACATACTGCAGACAGACCAGTCAGGTACCTGTATGCTCTTCCTCCACAGCCAGGACTTTGTAATGTGTGCAGAATGTGGTTTAGCATTGTGTTGTTGAAATATGCATGGGCATCCCTGGAAAAGAAGGCAGCACATTGTGCACCAAAATCACTGTACTTTTTAGCATTAATAATGAAGATTTTATATGTTTTATATTTTTTAATAAAAATAAAGAATAATGATTAATTTTAGTACCAATACTATAATTACTATATATGACATACCGTTAATGTGTATGGTGTATTATGCTGCGAGTTGTAGCACTACAGTACAGTAATTGACTGTAGGCAGTTACTGCTACTGCTCTGTTACAGTAAATAACCAGCAACACTGTTGCCAGTTAGCCACTGTAATGGTTCACTTACAGTAATTATATTCAAGTATAGTAATTATAGTATTGAATGGTAAAAAAGCCAGGTAATGTCTTACAATGTACTTCATTTTCAAAGGAGAAGCAAATCGTTAACCTCTTTTTTTTAAAGTTGCAGTATGTAAGATTGACCCCCAGTGGTTGAAAAAAAACCATTGTCAGAAAAATGACAATGATCAACTCAGGTACACCTCATGTGCTTTATTCAGTGTTTAAAGTTTGAATGCCATTTTACATGACATTTTATTGCCATGCTACTGAAAGCAGCAGCAGATCAGTTTACCTGAGATCTTGAGAATAAAATTAACCACTTTAAATTGAACTTTAGAACTGTGACTCAGTGCAAACCAACACATATCAGTGAATCAGCATCTACATTTAATAAAAATGTTAAAGAGGTTTAATATGTATTAATTAGATTATAAACTTTACAATTTCGTTGGAGTGCGGTGAATGTAGTTTTCTGTGCTTGTAAATGGCTGTTTTTAAATTTCTGTCATGTTTTGTCTGGAGCAAACAGCGGAATTGCTTATCACTGCAAATCTAGTCACATAGCGTTAAGGCACGGGGTTACAATGTAACCTGCTCACCTACTGTTTATAATATATTAAGATCTATATACCTGACTTCTGACTTCAGACTTCAGCATTTTTTTTTCAGTTAAACAAGAATGTTTACTTAGCATGTTTCTTAAATATCTTGAACACGTTAAGGTATTTTTTTGATTTAGAAGAGTCAAAAACTAACATCCAGCATCTTTGAATTCAAATATAAATTTTTATTCAATTCAATTTTATTTATGAAGCACTTTAAAACAACACAGTTGACCAAAGTGCTGACAATAGAGAGCAAAATAAAAGCACATACTTTAAAATACAAATAAATAAACATAAAATGTCAACATCTCATGCTGTGCAGCTAAAAGCTAAATTGAACAAGTGGGTTTTAAGAAGAGATTTAAAAACAGTAATGGAAGAAGCTTGTCTAATCTACAACGGCAGCTCATTCCACAGTTTTGGTGCAGCCACAGCAAAAGTGGCTGATCCCCTCTGAGCTTTCGACTGATCCTAGGCACACCCAGGAGGAGCTGGTCGGCTGACCTGAGCGAACAAGAAGGTGTGTAGGGATAGAGAAGCTTAGAGAGGTAAAGAGATGCAGCACCATTCAGACACTTAAAAACAAATAAAAGTTACTTAAAATGAATCCTGAAATGCACAGGCAGCCAGTGAAGAGAAGATCACTGGGTGAAAATCAGGGTGATGTGTCGTATTTGCGAGTGCCAGTTAAAAGACCCGCAGCTGCATTCTGAACAAGTTGGAGTCGAGAAATAGAGGACTGACTCACCCCAAAATAAAGGGCGTTGCAGTAGTCTAAGTGGGAGGTTTTAAAGGCATAGATTACTGTTTCAAAGTGCTTGTGGGATAAAACGTGCGTAATTTTTGCCAGTTGTCTTGAGTGAAAGAAGCTAGAGCGAACAACAGACTGAATCTGGCTTTCAAACTTTAGTTCAGGATCCATTTTAAAACCCAGGTTCACAATCTCTGGCTTACAGAAAGTTTCAAGATTATTCAGGTGTAAATGAGCGACATTGGAGCTGGGGCCAAACACCATCACTTCGGTCTAAATTTTAAGATTTTTAAAAAGCAAATTTTGAGCTTCAGAAAGTATTTTGGACACTGTGAGGTCAACATTGAGCAGAATTAACACTTCAGTCACAATGGAACACTTGTGAAGGTCTGTGGTTTTGCTGAAAACCTGTCTGTCTAAGATGAGTAATAAGAGTAACATACACATATTTCCATACATAAAAGTATACGTAAAAAAAGAAATTCTTCAATCAACTTACACTAAAAATCTATTTTACACATTATTAAGAATGTTCATACAAAAAAAGATTAAGAAACTTAATTAATCCAGAAACAAATCATCACTCATCAGATGAATAGATGCATCATTGCACAGGTTTTAGCAGCTCATTTCAAAGCATCAAAGGTGTTAAAATCTTCTACAACCAAACCACAAACTCTTCTGCACAGTGACACACACAAAAACCCCAACATAGCAGAGGCTTTTCTTCACTATTGCTGAGGCATTAACATCCATCATTCTTTGTCAAGTTTTCCATGGCCTTAACCCTTTATTTGAAATACTTTTTCTCCAAACTCTTTTAAAATTCTTCAAATCTCATTCACTTTTTCTCCTGAACTTCAAGCACATTGTCAATTTCTAAAACCCAGCTTTGCACTGTCATGCTTTTGTGATGCAAAATGGTAAAAACAATCAGAAAACGTTAAACACAACTAAGACACAAATCTTTTATACAATAAATAAAAATGATACACTCACAGAAATTAAGGTATATATGGGAGGGGAGGGGGGG